CGTAACATCACTCACAATAGCCGCTTAATATAATGCAACCCAAACATTGCATCGCTTTTAGTGCCTGAGCTGCGGAGCGCTCCGATTGGTCGGTCGACGACGGCGTCCTTTGGGAGGACTGCAGAGGCGCTCCGATTTGGGTCGGTATCACTGTTGTGAGGTATTGCAGGCCTAAGTGCGAGTGAGATTGTAACAGTAGGGATTGGATGCCGTTATGTGACAGGTTAGATTGACACTGTATGGACTCTAACTGTTGATTATTTACGTATCGTGACTGTAGCTGAGTTGAAGTTACTTGAACTACTGGTGGATGATATGCAGTATCATGGTTGACTGTTAGATTGAATGTGCGCATGTGGACTGTGATTGAGAGGTGGGTATGTGACTGTAGGTTGAGATATGCGTATGTGCTGTAGATTTGAGATGTGGTAATGAAAGTTATGTGGAGCTGTAGATTTGAGATGTGTTTGTTTGGGCGTAGAGTTGAGATGTTGGTATGTGGACTGGTTAGGTTCAGATGTCGTATGTGATGTAGGGTTGAGATGCTTAGTGTACTGGGACTGTTAGGTTGTAGATGTGCGGTTGTGACGTAGGTAGATTGTGAGTATATGGACTGTATGGTTGAGTTTGTGCGATTATGTGGACTGCTAGATTTGAGTATGTGCGCATATGGACAGGTAGATGAGATGCTGCGTATGTGATGAATAGTTTGAGATGTTGCGCATGATGACTGTAGATTTGGAGATGTGGCGGTATGTGACTGCAGGTTAAGATATGCGTATGTGACTGTAGATTTATGAGATGTGCGGTATGACAAGTATAGTGACTGTGATTGAGATGTGTTTTATTATGATGTAGGTTAGAGATGGTTGGCGTTTGTGACTGTGAGGTTGAGATGTGCGTATGTGATCAGTTTAGATTCGAGATGTGCGTATGTGATGTAGGTTTGAGATGTGGTAGTCATGACTGTAGGTTGAAAGATGTACGTATGTGACTGTTAGGTTGAAGATGTAGTGTATGTGACTGTAAGGTTGAGATGTGGTGGTATGTGGATGTAGCGTTGAGGATGTGCGTATGTGACTGTAGCTATGATGTTGCGTTATGGGACAGGGTAGGTTGAGGATGTGTGTATGTGACTGTAGATTGAGATGTGCGTATGTGACTGTAGATTGAGATGTGAGTAATTGTGCTGTATGATTGAGATGTGGTATGTGACTGTGATTGAGATGTGCGTATTGTGCTGTAGATTGAGATGTGGATAGTTGGAACTGTAGATTGAGTGGTGCGTATGTGACTGCAGGTTAGATATGGCGTATGTGACTGTAGATTGAGATGTGCGTATTGCAGATATGGATGGCAGA